TAGTTCTGGAGTTTGGTGTCGACTACAGACTGAGAGCGCCGGTCGAACTAACCGTCCGAAGACCCTCTGCCACAGTCCGGTGTCTGAAGAAGATCCGGAAGTCGTGGTTCTAAAGCCACTTAGCTTGCAATTGATCCTGCAACAATAACAACAACAACCACCACCACTTCTGATTTCTCGTGACCTACAAATTTAAGAATCTTTGCTCATCACAAAAGCCTTGCACGGTTAACACAGCTTAAAAAAATCGCCCGTGTGTAGTAATCCAAATCTAAATTAGGCCCCAGCATATTATGGAGACCACTAAATACCAACAGGTTTATTGGCTCGCTTGAACTTCGCGCACCTTCACGCTCCTTGCGCTCACGGGACCTCTTTCGAGACTATGCCATTTTAGATGCGAATCGTTTTCCACCCGTAACCAAAGCGATGATTTAGCCAACAGTTCCTTGCGTACATACTCAGCCTCGTTTATTATGTCCATCGTTTCCCATGGCGTGTTGTTTCTTCTTGAAAACGAGCACCCAGGGAATACCTACACCGTTAAATTCCTTCTACTCCTCTTCTTCCACCACTACAAATGTCCTTTTGGTAGCCCGCAAACTGAAAGACTGGACTGCCTATGCGCATTTCAACGCTTGTCTGTTCTTGGAATTGACGCTTAGAAAAAGTAGTGGTGTTAGGGCGGGAAGAACCCAAGGGTACACTTGGCTGTTTAACTGTTCCAACTCTTCGTGTCTCATCGCTCACCTTATTTCAAAAATCCAGTCGGCCAAAATGGACGACGTACATGTAAAGCATGCGTAGTAAACTTGCTTTTCCTTCCGATGGTACGTAGTTTTTTAGCTTCGGCCTTGCCGTGTTCTCTCCTGCGCAGCCTCTATGTACATATACGTTTTACTGTGTAGCAGAAAAATAGGAGTGGGGGCGGGCAAAGATGGAGCCACAAAAATGAACTACCCGTTACCGACTCTTACGCTGGGGTTTGTCCCTGTCATATGCACTGTGTCAGAACGGCGCGTCTGCCACCAATAACGGTAAGTGCGGTATTATTTCATCGAATACGTATTTCCGCCACTCAAGAGCATGCACGACCCGAGCAATTTCACTGAAAGGGAAACGCTTCATTTCTCTTTTTCAGCTACAGGCTATTCGCACGTTTGGACTATCCAATTCAGCAGCCGTCTTGACAATGGAGGAGGATGATCGACATGCCGCTGGCAACACTTCTCCCATTCAAAACTCTCATCGCTCATCTGCCCACGAGACCCCACATGGTGATCATGGTAACACAGACGAGGTAGGCATTAAGAGCGGAATCCTGTTAGGCTTTTCCTCTTGTGTTCATTCCTACTACCTCTCCTGACATTGCGTTTTTTTTATCCCCACGTTCATGTCACGTTAGTTCAATTTTGGCGAGGTCATGGTGTTCCAGGCCATTCACACCATTGAATACTGTCTTGGCTGTATATCCAACACAGCCTCCTACTTGCGACTTTGGGCACTCAGTCTCGCGCATGCACGTGAGTGACATCTTCATCCATGCGCATTCTTTAAATTTCAAAGTTGTCATGTTATGATATGCACTGGACAGAATTGTTTGGTTTGTCTTCAGCTGAAGGTTTCATGACTAACAATGCTGTGCTGCTGTCTTCGGAAACACCCTTTCACACACCCACGTAAATCTCTCTCGTGAAAAACAGCATAAGTACCGTGTACTGTTTTCACACCTGTAAGAACTCAGTCATATTCCAGAAGCATTTTTTCCCAGAATGAATTTGAGCAAGGCAAAGGCGACAGAATACGCAGAATTTATTCCCGTCATACAATTTCGCGACTTCTTATTTAACTGCGTAAGGTCATCGCCTATTAAATAAACTATCCAATTAGATTTCGACCCAGTGGGGGTGAAACGTGATAGATAGATAAAGCATGAACTGTTGTTCTGGTATACGGGTGCACACAGTGAGTGGGGAGTTTAGATTCAATCAACGCGCGGGAGAGAAGTCAGTCACGCAAGGTGGAAAAGGGTGTGAGAGAATGAGTGTTACGTCTATTATCTATCTTTAACACTGCTGCGCGAGGTCGATCATATGATCCAACACCTTCAGAGTTCTGGTTTGATTCTATTTATTATATCGGCCCCTGAGAAACGCATGAGACGCCTGATCGTCGCCCTAAGTATAACCTTCGATGCAGTCATTGGGCTCACCGTATAGTCAGTGTCCTCTAGGTACTTTGTAATTGAACTCCTGTCCTTAGCAGCCATTTCGGTATATGTTCAGCTGACCGGGTTACCAACTACCTTTACTTGCGCCGAATTTATTTGCATCTGCAACTACATATAAACTAAAAAAACTCAACATTGGGGGTGACAACTATTTCCCTTCTGACTGCATAATTATGGGGGTGACAGCTATTTTCCCCAGTGACCGCATAATTAAATGCGAGTGATGATTATCTACTTACATTGTGACCCGCCATATAATCTTGTGTTAGTCATATTTTTGAGCTAATTGTTTTCGCAAAACCCTGTCTGACAACGAACTGCGGAACCAGACTCGAAAATTTATGCAATAAACATTATTCCTTCATAAAGGACTTTACCATTTATCAAATATAAACTCATAAATGAAGTTTGATGTGGCGTGCATAGACGGAATGTCTTTAGTCGGTCTAGCCAGAATAGCCGTTTTAGTACTTATGAACAATAATTTAGAGGCGGTGTATTTTCGTTCAATCATGAATCGAAATCTTTGCTTGATCACGTTGGATACGTCACCCTTGAAAGGGAGGAAAATGCTCACCGACTCTTTTGACACCGATATTTGGGGGGGGAGCTTTCCTGCCTGAGGTGGGGATACCTATCGATGAATTTCTCCGGATGCCCGTTTCCAAAACGGTCGTATCTGAAAAACGGATTCTAATGGATCTATTGTTCATTCACAAAACCAAGTTTCGTCTTCTCTGAACCGGCCCTAAATTGAGGAAGTGCATGTACTGTCCTTTCTAGGTGGTTTTCCGACAGTTGGACCCCTGAACGAGACCAGCTGCCCACCTGCATACAGGAACGTCTAAAAAGTCATTGTGTCATTTTTCTCATGCCCGATTGTAAACGTGATCTTCGCATGTGTCTCGTTCATAGCCTCAAGCAGTACGTAAAGCAAACGGAAACCACCTTGCACCGCCGTTCTGGCTAACTCGGATCAAGTGATAACTCATGACTGGCAAAATCGATCGATGGCGAGAACACTTTAGAGAGCTACTAGATCCGTCTACACATCCATCAGCAAACCCACAAATATCAACTGGAATTCCATACGATATTGACTGCGAGCCACCTACGAGATCAGAACTAAAAAGGGCATTGCAACAATAGAAAAGTCGGAAGGCATCGGGTGAGGATAATATTCCAGCGGAAGTCTGCAAAACTGGCTGTTCTGTTTTGGCAGAACCACTTCACCGACTGCACTTGACTATATGGTCTACAGAAGTCATCCCAACTGACTGGTCATTTTCCATCATCTTGCCGATACCAAAGCGTGGTGAAATTTCCCTATGTTCCAAATTATCGCGACAGCAGTCTCATCGATATAGCCGCCAAAATGTTTGCGACCATCCTTTTCAGTAGATTTTCGATTGAGCGCAATTTACGCACTCGTCCTAACCAAGGAGGGTTTCTTCCATATAGAGGATGTGTTGACCAGATCTTCATTCAGCGCCGCATACTGGAACACCGAGAAGCCTTATAGCAAGTCATACTTGCCGATGGTCTCTCAATAAAGTTGCTCAATCTGATTAAAGCCTACTATAGCACAACGTCAGCCCGAGTAAGAGCCCTTGGTGAAGAGTCAGATTCTTTCCCACTGACTTCTGGAGTTTGACAAGAATGTTTTCTTTCCCCATTTCTCTTCAACTTCTTGATCGGTTGGGTGATGCATAAATCAATTCTAACTGATAGTGGATGTGACATGAACCCTGAATTCAGTGTACCCGACCTGAAGTATGCTCATGACATTGTCGTACTTCGTAATACCTCTCAGTAACTGCAACCAACGCTAGACCGAATCACCAGCTTCGCCATTGTTGGCCTTACGATTAATATACGCAAGACGAAGTTCCTGACTATGCATCTCGGCATAGTACGACCGCTGTTTACCAGTGGTCAATCCATCGAAGAAGTTAGCTGCTTCCACTATTTGAGCTCGAATACACCAGTCAACGACCAAGCCAAAGAAGAAATCAAAACCGGAATCGCACAGGCTCGAAATGCATTTAGGCTACACGCCAGACTACTGTGCTCTCGCTCAAACATCAACTTACGTACCGAGCTGTTGATATACCGAGCATCCACCAGACCGGTGTTAGTATATGCTTTCGAAACATGGCCAGTCAGAAAGACAAATATTATATCGCCCTAAGTCTAAGACTGATGGTGTCTTTGACGCATCTTAAGAGCTTCCTGGCAGGATCAAATTTCCCATGTTGAGCTATATCGAAGGTGTTTTCAACTACCAAGTCTAGTATCATACATCCAGCATCGCCGATTGCAGTGGTTTGGCCATGTCCTGCGCAAGCCATCGACGGACCTCTGCAGATTGATTGTCAATCCCTCTCGTAGTGGAAACTGGAGATACCGACATGGCGGTCAACTGAAGACGTGGCTCAACACTGTCAAGTCATACATCGAACACATGGGCCTCGTAACGGTTTACGGCTTGCGACACCGGAACAAGCACTGGATTCACATTTGCGAGGAGCTCGCTTCTGATTGCCGCCAATGCGCCGCCGTTATCCGTAAAGCCGATTCATCAAACGACAGGAGCCAATCGAATCAATTTCAGTAGTGATTCTCCGTCTCTAGAGTTTTCGTTTGAAAAAAAAAAGATACTCTGCGTATTGTCTATAGAAAGCATTTTTTGTAAGTTTTTGGCTAATATTCTTTCGAGGTTTGACATGAAGATGTCTGCTAGGACTAACACTAATGGGCTGCCCATAGATACCCCGTCCTTGTCCTGTGAACGGGAATTGTACATTCTTAGTACATATCTGTAGTAGTTCTTTCAATTTTTTGTCGTCTAGTTGCAGGCTCAGGCTTAACAGTTTAGGTCACCCTCATCTTATCCGTTCTCTGGTCTTCTTGACTCTGTCTTAACACAGAGCACAGGTGGATGAGGGAAGGGAGCGTACTACATATGCAACGCAAGTCTATTATAACTTAAGACTAGTCCACGCGTAAGTCACTACCACGCTATGGAGCAGACGGTGGATATAATCAAAATCGACGGTCTAGCGTCTGGTTTGAGTTAAGTTTCGTGTAAGGACCATCACGTGCATAGCCCTCGTAGACGTGAATGCAACTCGTTAATCTTTCATGTCTATTGATTCTGCTTTACTATTAAAACATTCTGGACATTCGATAGTGCGCTGGATACTGCGTATAATTACGCCCCACCAGTATCCAATTCACGCGCTAGTCAACACTGCGTTCTCTGTCACTGTTTGCGACGAACAGTACTGGCGAAGTACCTCCGCTTCGTTAGTTCGGCCCTCTCACGTCATTGAGCAGCCTCTCAGCTACTTGCATTTATTTAAATCACAGTACTGTTGTAGAGCAGGTTTGGGCATGAGATGCAGTATGTGTAGGAAATCGGTTAAACACAATTTGCAATGAAAATAATAGCCTTTGTGGACTTTCGACAGGGGAGTAGGAACCATCACTTAGAACTGCTTTGCACTCCAATAACCTTTCACTCCAAAGAAACCTAGTTATGTGGCTTATACTTCACGGAGGCCTCAAGGAAATAGAAAAACGAACCGTTTCAAAAAAGTAATATTAACGTGAGTACTACACCTTTCTCTTTTCAAATAAACAACTGTTGCCTGTATTTAACTAATATTTTTTCGCATTAGGCGGTATTTTGCAAAACGACTGCTATGGAGAAATTTGTAATGGAGGTCGTCGTAGATTATTAATTTACTTCTAGTGCGAAGCCAGCGTTCCACCATGTGTATCCGTGAAACAGTAGGCTAATTATTATTATAACAGAATGCAAGCATTCTGTTAATGCTTTACATGTTCCGTCATGGGTTTAGGTCACGTGTCGTGAATGTCGAAGTATGACGTTCCACTTAAGAGACCTTGAAAACTTAGCACAGTAGGCTCCAGTTAATTGGGAGAACCAGACACGCTGAAGGAACTAATTAATTTTATGCTGATAACCTGATTGGGTTATGGAAAATAATTTTAAAACAAAAGTCATCTACTGCAGTTTTTAATTAAAGCCTGCAATGCATGATGTAACTTCGTCCCATAACCGGTTTTCTTAGTTGAATATATGCGCTCGAAGAATGTGCCCTTGCATCGGTCAGGACTCTTTCTGTGACAGTATCTTACGTAAAGTGATATTCATGGTAAAATCTATTATGTGACCCATTTTTCCTTCCTCTCCGAGAGCTTTTACAAAAAGGAACAGAAATGCTAAGTCGAAAATGCCTAATTTGGGGGAAGAAGTTGTGTTTCAATTCTTCCTCAAACTCTATCTAATTTCCTCATTCGACATGTTCCCAGTTGAGCGAACAGTTCTTGAAACGCACTTGGATGTATTCACATTCCCATACCTTGCTCGTCTTCTCATTTTCCGGCGAACGGTCCATTAAGATTAAGAAATCTGATATGCTCTCACGTGTTTCCTCCTCATCCCCCCCACCTTCTGCTCATTCTCCATCGCCTCCTCCTTCACTGCCTCTCCCTCCTACATTACAATTTTTAAAAATAACATTTCCTCTTTGTTCTGTTTCCATCTCAAGTTAACAAATGCATCATCTTGTCATTTCTAGAGCTCTCTGAAGTTCTTTGGGACATGGTAATGATAAATGGGCTTAAAGTCGACGGCTATTTTGGTTGTGTCATCCTCTTCTTCGTCTTCGCTGCTTGGGCATGCCTGACTGTCGGCGTACTAGTTATAATGGAGGGATTATCAGCCTTTCTTCACGCCATTCGTCTGCATTGGTAGGTTGAGTTGTTTCCATCTGATGTTTCAAGAATCTAGTCCTTGTACGGAATTTGATAATTAACTACCGATAACTTCGTGTGAGATGAAACTGTTTACCACGATACAGATATTCGAAGGTTTGTGGTTTCAGATCGTTTAGAACATCACATTCTATAAATTGCTGTATTTGGCAAACATTACTAAAATTACACAAATAACCATCCTTATATCCAAAACTGGAAGTCACCGACACACCTTCTGAGTAGGCAGTGCACTAGCTTTTCAAATATTTAACTTCTTAGACCTGTTGTAAGAAGATTTATAATCAGATTTACCCATCGAAGCCGACCTCTGGAAATGTGCGTTAACTGAAGCATGTTCTTACTTCATCAGGCCTGGAGAATTCTTCTCGCTAGAATATTGTTAAAACAAGAATTCCTATCATCCCGACCACAGCCTTTGCCAATGCATCACATTTTGAAGTGGTTTAAGCCTTTGTAAAAACCCGACACTTTTATGTCATTAATCGAGGTCCATAGATATCTTGAGGCCAAGTTATCGGGATAAATCAATAGCCCTTTTCTGTTTTGATTGACAGAGAACGTGCTTTACACCCAAACTATCACAAACGCAACTTCTAGGAATAGTTTATTCTCGTTTATCTGATACCATGGGGCCGCTCACGATTGGTCTATTTCCTCTTTCAGGGTGGAATTCAATAACAAGTTCTACGTCGGCGCTGGCTACTTGTTTATGCCGTTCTACTTTCAAACGATTCTTAACCAGGCCTCTGAGTGACGCAACCTCTTAAATCTTATTAGCTTGCATCTCACTGTCAACAGCTCAAGGCACTTTTTCTTGCCTTTGTTGTCCGATGCGGATTAAATTTGACCAGGAACTCTATTTTTCACATGAATTTCCTACCAATTCAACTATGCCCGCCCTCCGCTACATCGTCATCCTCACTTCGCCCCTTCCCGTGTGTGTGTCATTTGTTTTGTTTTTTCTGATCCTCCAAAGAGCTCTAAAAGTATACTATCTTCTTTGCTTTTTTTGGAACTCTTACCCACTACCACTGCTTGGTGATTTAGGTTGCCTTGATTGAATAAAGTCTAGTCTGTGCCAATCACCATATTTTTCTGTCAATGGTAAAGAGGTTGTGACAGGTTTACTACAACCCATATTTGTCGTCCACGTGCTTCCTCAGCTAGAGGCGTGCCTTGCCTATCTTGCCGCAGATTAATTCCGCGATATCCCAGCCGTCAAAGCCGATACGGTAGATTATGGGTACGAGTTATTTCTGCACGCTTTCGATTTGAGGCATAAGACTTATTTTAGCTCCATCACGTATTAACGAGAGCGGGTCGTA